CGTCCATGGTGGCTAGGAGTGTGTTGCTGGGAAGGTGGTCTATGTTTTTAAGTTTCCATAGCAAGTCTGTGGTGTCTTGGACAAAACTTGCTCTTTGGGTGACAAGCTGTTTTAGGATGGATTCAACAAAACCTGATATTTCCTCAGTTAGGGTCCCATGGTTGGATATGATAGGTCTGCCAGGGTTCCCTTGTTTGTGGATTTTAGGGAGCATGTAAAAAGTCCCTGGGTTAGGCAGCAGGGGGATCAAGGTCTGTAGTTTTTCTTGTAATCTTGGCACCTAAACCAGATATTAAAAATATATAAATTTTTGAATATGCAGAGCGATTGGGATTAAAAACCACAATTAATAACAAGGCTCTAATTGTACCCGTTTGCTCTAGTACAGAGGTCCTTAACCATTTTTAGACTCAATACATCCTTCATTAGACTCAAGTTTCCCCTCCCCCCTCAGAAAATGCCAAACTTTAGTTTTCACTCATTTTTTTCACTGATCATGGACATATAACAAAGCAATTTTTCTTACTGCAAAGAACTCAGAAAGACCACAACAGATCAGAATTTTTTGATGCTATGAATTCCTATTTGAAATTCCTGGGTTTATCTTGTGAATCATGCGTATGTGTTTGCACAACTATATGCTAACCACAGCAACCTTAGTGGGTTCTCACAGCAACCCAGGGTGCCATGGCACCCTGGCTGAGAATCACTGCTCTTACACCCCTCTTTGTAACTTACAAATCTGAGTGTGTACCATATAGACTGAATTCATCTCTTTGAAAGAGACTTCTTGCAGAATGAAGCTATAATAGTTGCAAAATTACAGATAAATTGCTATATGATAGCAACCCTCAATTACCACTGCAGAAAGTGAAATTGCTATCAAAAGGAGTAATACTGAACACAAAAGGTCTGCCCCACTCTATATATTTGCCAGATCAGAGCACCTTCCCAAAGCAACTAACTGATTTTATTGCTAAATATTCCTGGCTATCAAAATTCAGATGTATGTCAGTGAATTAGTTTAAGCTTTTACTGCTTATCTTCAGCAAAATGTGGAAAATTACCCAGACCTGGGGAAAGCATTAGACTCAATCCTATTTCTATATGCTACAGGAGCTGCCAGCTACTTGACAGATGCCACAGATTTAAAAAAAAAACCTAGTTTCCACTGACAACTTTCCCACTACCACCATATTAACTACCATGGATGTTACATCTGTGTACACCAGTGTACCCCACAGGATGGATTACAAGCCATAAAGAACATTATCTCCGATGAGGACACTGCTTCCATTTACACTGTACTCTCCCACTTTCTCCTCACACAAAACTATTTTAGATTTGGGGACTCCCTATACCTACAAAAAAATGGCACTGCCATTCTTCCCCTGCAATATACCAATATATTTATGATAGACCTTGACGCCTACTTTCTCTGCAGCTGCCCTCTCATCTCCCTGGTATACCAAAGGCAGGTTGATGACACCTTTATCATACTGAAGCATGGGAAGGAATCTCCTGAGAAATTCCACCAGGACTTTAACAACTTCCACCCCTTCATCAAACTGACTCTGGAATACTAGCAAAATAATTTTTTGGACACCACTTGGAATGTCTGCAATATCACCACCACATTGTATTAGACATCAACTGACCACACTCCCTCCATGACAGCAGCTTTCATTCTAAACACACCATTATATCCATCATCTACAGACAAACTCTACATTACAACTGTATCTGCTCTGATCCCACTGACTGGAATGCACACCTTAAAGATATGAAGTAGGGATTCCAACGATTACAATACAATCCTACAATCATAGCCACTCAAATCAAGAAAACCAGACTCAGATCCCATTCTGCCCTGCTACACATGCCAATCTCAAAACAAATACAATAGAATCCATCTGGTTGTCATCTACAGCCCCTAGCTTGAACACCTCCAACCCCTCTTGGAAAAGGATGACTATCTGAAGGTAGCCATGGGAGACAAACCTGTCCTGACTTACAGGCAGCCCCCCACCTTCAAATGGCACCTCTCCAGCAACAGACTACCTAACTCCTATTCTCACCAAAGTACCAGATCTTGTTCCAGACCCAGATGCCAGCTGTGCCTCTTCAGCAACACAGACCACATCATCACTGGCCCAAATAATATTGATTACAATATCTGAGGTTCACTTACTTGCACCTCTACCAATGTTATATATGCTATCAGCTGCTCACAGTGCCTCCTTGCTGTCTAGATTGGAAAGATGGGGTGATCCCTGCGTAACATGAACACCAATCTGACATCAGGTCCAGAAAGAGACACAACCCTGTGGCAGAACACTTAAACCTCCATGGACATTCTATCACTGACCTCACAGCAGCTGTTCTCAAACAACAAAACTTAAAAAATGAACCTGAATGGGAATCTGTAGAATAAGGAATCACCTGCAGATTGGAGTGTGTTAAGCATGGTCTAAAACCACCGATGTTAAACTCACCTGGCATTGTGGGCTGGATGAGGGATGCTGAGTTGGTCTTCAGCCCAAATCGGGCCCATGGACTAGGACTACATGCTGGATCCAGCTCACAAGACTGGGCTAATGCAAATGCCACATGCAACCTGCTCAGGACTGGCTCTGTTTGTTGCTTGCAGTGCACACATCAGCTCCAATCCTATGCAATGCATGCAACACACACCAGAAGTGGCTCCAGCCCTGGCCCTGCCCCCACACTTAGCATGCATAGCTGGTCTGGGGTGTGTACTGCACATAGCACACAGGGCCAATCTGGAGCATGTGCTAAATGTGGCATATGTCAGACTGGCACTGGATCCTGGCTCTGGCCGCAGAGCTGGTCTATGAGCCCAATCCAGACCAGCCCCAGATCCAGCACACAGGGATAGTTTGGTGACAGTGTTGCATGCAGTGCATGCAGTGCATGTCCCAGATTAGCCCACGTTGTGCGCGGCATGTGCCAGCCCCAGCCTCCTGCAGTATGTGGTGCGCAGGGCCAATTGAAGACATAAGCCGCATGTGACGCCCATGCAACACAGGCCCCGTGCACTGGATCCAGCATGCCTCCAAGCTGTGGGCCCAATCCAGACTAACTCTGGATCCAGGGTGCAGGGCTGGTCTGGCACAGGCACAGCATGCAGCACGCACCTTAGACTGGCCCTACACACTGCATGCAGCAAGCACTGGCTCCAGCCCCTGCGCTGTGTACAGCCTGTCTCAGACAGGCTCCATGTTGGGCATGCAGGGCTGGGGTCAGCACGTGTTTTATGTGGCACATCGGTCCACAACCCACAGACAGTACAGTAAGCCAGATGATAGGGCACTGTGTGCCAGGTCCAGCCCATGAGCTGTAATTTTGACATCCCTCGTCTAAACCTGGACTATGGATTCTTAACCCATTACCTGTATTAGCTTTTGTGACCCCTATGTCTCTCAGAGAGTCAGCTTGCTTTTTTTCTCTCCTGTCCATCTTGCCTCTTTCAGCAGTGCCCCTCTTTTTCCCTCCCAATTCCCTTCCCTTTGTTTTCTAATCACTGCTTTCTATTTAGAAGCTTTGCTTCCTGCAGGCCTTTTACAGCCTCTGAAGTAAGCCCACTGCTCACGAAAGCTTATGTTATACATCTCAGATTTAGTTAGTTTATAAGGTGCAACTCTATCCTGCCTTCTGTAGTTATTATAAAATAGTCCATTGCTGTATCTATTTTCTCTACTAAACAGACAAGTAGGGTCAGTAGACAAGATGAGTGTGGCTGTGTGGTATGTGGCACTGCAAAAAAGTCCTTTTTCAAATATATAGGGAGGATGAAGAAGGCACCAGGAAATGTGGATATCCAGGGGTCAAAAAAACCTCGAAGAAAAAAAATGGAGCAGTGCATGCATGGGCAACATGCACCACTGAAAAGTGAAGCCAGGGCACCCAGAGCTGCACCATGGCTGGCAGCCAGGCTCCACCTGGCAGGGGCACCACTGCTGCAGCCCCAGGAGGCCCCCAGGACCCCCAGGTAAGGCTGCTGGGGCCAGCACTGGGCTGGCCCCACTTTCCCTTACCAGATAAACCACAGCAGTGATAAATGCCCTTTCATCCTCTTGAAGTAAACCTCAACCCAATCCTGAAAACCCTTTGAGAGAGATGCCTTTTGCATTATGCCCTAATCAACAAAGTTGGATTATTTCAGACATGGATTTAGGGGCAACATATATTTTGGCGTTCATTTTAATGAACTTTCTATTCTCCAGGTTGCCTGTATCTGACATTTCTTAGGTCCATCACCCCAGGGGTAACTTGCTGCATACCACCAAAGTGCACATGGTATGGGCATTCCCCAGGGACAAGTAGCTATGGCACAAGGTGCATCACTGTTACTTCTCCTTGGGGAACCAAAGATCTGTGCTCATCTGGATGTGGCCGTAAGGGGTTTCTTGAGCATCATCTCTGTTTAAAAGCTTGAGGACCTCTGCACTAGAGCAAACAGGTACAATTAGAGCCTTTTTATTAATTGTGTTTTTTAATCCCAATCACTCTGCATATTCAAAAATGTAATTTTTTTAATATCTGGTTTAAGTGCCATATAGACATTAGTGTATTTTTAGATGAACACATGGTGCTATACAGCTGCACTTTTATAAGGATTTCACTTCACTAAACCGTGTATTTATTTTGACTTAAGTAATAAATGAGATGGTGCTGTAGGCCCCCAAAAGCAGCAGTAGCAATACAGATAAACCGCAGCAGTGATAAATGCCCTGTTACTTTTCCCTGGGGAACCAAAGATCTGTGCTCATCTGGACATGGCCATAAGGGGTTTCTTGAGCATCATCTCTGTTTAAAACTATACTGGGCAATGAATAACTCATAGGTCATGTGAATGGCTTAAATCTAATTTTTCTTTTCCTTTTATCTCTGACACTTTCCTTAGAACAGAAATCCCATTAGATTTTTGATGATAACGCTCTAGGGTTACCAGCCTGGGAATGGTGACTCTATAATATAGTCTGCATAGGACAGGGGTGGGCAAAATGCGGCTCAGAGGCCGGATGCGGCCTGCCAGGCCATTCTATCCAGCCCGCAGGGCCCCTAAAAAATTTAGAAAATTAATATTAATCTGTCCTGGGCTGCCTGTTATGCGGCCCTCGATGGCTTGCCAAAACTCAGTAAGCGGCCCTCTGCCCAAAATAATTGCCCGCCCCTGGCATAGGAGAATCTCCTCTAGGCTGCAACTGTAAATGCTCAAATCTAATACAACTTAATTGGACTTTTGGTAAGGCTTATCTGTGTCTCTGGCCACTTCTCTATTGGTTTTACAAAACAACCCATAGCAGGTGTAGGTTTCAATAGGCTTTAAGAGAAAAGATAAAATAAGGAGCAAAACAAGAAATGTCTCATAACAAAACAAAATCAATCAGGACAAAAGGGTAAAAAAAATAAAAAGAGAAAGAGCCTCAGAAGCTTTCAACAAAGTATGCCCTATGATTTAATGTACAACGGAGGCTTTAGCTTTCAAGAGGAAAGAAGAAAGAGAAGTTATCTGATGTTCTGTATCATTGCAAGTAAATGCTTTGTAGGATGTTGCTCATAAAGAGATCTTTCTGAGGTTTTCTCTAGCACCTATGACCATAATGTCCAAGACCTAGTAAATTTAATCACTGAATTCATCAAGTGAGTCAAGATTATAGCAAATATAGACATAAAGGAAAAATAGAATTAAAACACATGCATTAAAAATCAAAAGCAATCTACATAGATACAAGAGAAGAAAATGCTATATAATCCATTACATTTCCATGCAACTCACTTGCAGCCTGATGGCGTGTTCATGTTTCCTCTTCATATCGTTAATGTGCCATGCCACTCTCTGCATTGTATCTATAGCATCTAGTACAACATCATACCCTTCAGTGTCCTTGTCAAGGTGGTTTTCTATTTCCTATTAAAGAATCCAGTAAGAAAAACAATTATTTACATCTAGATGAAAAGAGTTTGAAATGTTGGCAAGGCTTTTATTGTTACTCTTTTGTCTTAGAATCAAAATTACCTGACTGCAGTGATGTGTACTCTGATATTTTTGTATATTTTGTCACCAGTTTAGACTAAACAAGTCTGGCAAAACAAAGTTTTACAGTCAGCTGAGTACTACTCAAACTGCTGCCGAGACGACACATTAAAAGAAAAAGGGAGGAGCCACCAATGCATCACACTAATATACAGAAGACAGACCTTTCTAGGTGAAGACTGCTTATGATTTCTGGAAGCACAGAATGCATCTACATGCCTACCAAAACCAGACCCGATTACATTCAACTTTCGACTGGGAAGGGAAGGATGCACTACACACTTTAAATCATGATCTCTGTCTCTTTACATTTAATTAAAATGTGACATTGTAACAGGAAACATATGTGGAAAATGTTAACAATAAAGCAGGAATTTCTGAAAATGTTCCTTAACTCTATCCACAGAGTATGGAAATAATTCCCAACTGCCCCAGTCTTTCCAGCAAATGAAATTCAGATAAATCAATGGTGTTTATAATTATTTAACCCTTGTAATAGTCGTCACCTCACCACTTGGATATATGGAAAAACAAGTGCTTTTCATTTGAATGATAAATGTTGTATGAAATTGCTCATACCTGACAGCAAGGCCCTCCCAAAAATACATTGGAATTATAGACCGGAAAAAATCTGAATATTTGCATGCACAAACTGAGTCAATGCGCCCAAAACAATTACCATACACTTCCTAAGCCAAATGTATTTATACACTTTTAAGGGATGAAAAAATGTTTCCATATGTACAAAAAAAAAAAAATCAGCAAAACACTACACATCTCTAAAACAACTTAAAACTGTTCCAACTGTCCAGCACAGTGAAAGCTCTGGAATATGGAGGTACAGCCCTCGAGACAGAAGTGTTTATAATATGCACATACGTGTAAAAGCAGGTGATACTTGAGGATTCGCTGGACAGGTTTTAGAAGATAGGAGCCCAAGGGCAGGGAGTGATGTAAAGCTTCTTGCCGTTCTCTGAAGAACTTGGCCAATGTCTTGTTCCTCATGCACTCTGTTAGGACAGCTACTGACCTGGCAACATAAAATACATTTCTTAAAAATAAATGCTGCTTCTACAAATCAGGACACACAGTCAGGAACTGTTCCTTTCATTCCCTGTAGTGGGGTATCAAATTCCAAAGCTTCTGCTTTTTCTTCAGAGAGAGAATTCTTATCTTGGGATATTAGGTATTTTGGTGCATGACAGAACATAGCCCTAATTTTTAGTGAAGGCAAACAGGAATTACTAAGAAAAACAACAATAAAACAATTAAAAGCAGAAAAGCTTCAGATAAGTACTTCCCTCCTTTTTAATATTATGATTTGAAAGAAAAAGCACAGAAATAATGTTTTTTCTGCATGTGGAAAACATATTTCTGATAGGACTGCAACTGTGTCCTTCACTTATTCATATCAAGTTACATCCTCTAAAACTGGACAGAGCAAGAAGGAAAAGGTAAAGAGAGGACAAAAAGGGCTTACCTTGGATAATTGGTGCAGTACTGTGTATATATATGGAAATCTTCACTCTGTGTGTTGAGGGGGGAAAAAAATAACATTCGGATTTTGTCAAAACTAATTTACAGATCCTAGGTCCCCTCCTGATCCTAGCATTTAGAAAAATGGTGCAAGGCTGAGAGCTCACTGGTTCAGGGGCGGGGGGGATTGACAGTGGAGAGGGTGGGTGAGAGTTTGCAGTGGAGCACTTCCTGTGCATGTGCACAGAGGGGAAGGGGAATGCAACTCCATGACCCTCGGTTCCACCGCTGAGTAAGACCAACACAGCTTTTTCATTTGATATTGTTCTCGCTCATCCTATTCATTATCCCCTTCCTTCCACGGAGTCCCAGGTTAGCCTGAATTCACATTGTTCCACACACCTGGATCAAGGTCTAATGCAATATTGCTCACCTTCCCTCCCCTTTCTGAAAAAGCTCTTAAATTCAACTCTTGTATGAACTTTCAAGTGAAAAGAAATATTACACTGTTTTCTGTGTTCACTGTTCTTTATTTACTGACTTTCACATTAAAGTCCCAATCCTGAAAAGTACTGAATGCCTTCCCAAGGGGGGTTCAGTGTTCTCAAGGGCTGTTCACAAGGGGTGTTCAGTGCCCTCAGGTCCTCAGCACCTTACAGATCAGGACTTTAGACTAAATTTGGGATATGTACACTAGACTTATGCTTTTGGCATATTTATACATCACACAATACTACTAACACATCATAGTACTGTAGGAATTATCCTAGATGTTGTGTATTAGTTATAATTCACTACTGTACACTATAACTTAATATAAAACCAGGAAATACAAAATACAATGCAACAGAATACAAAATTACAGGTGAAATGGTGAAGACCATAACTTAGGACTGCAATAATTCAACCATATTGCAGAGCCAGTGTTTTACTAACTTTGCATAAAAAAGAGAAATTACACTTAGCAAGATCAAAAGTATCTATATATTTGCAGATAATCAATGATATTATAGTCAAATAATTACTTTTTCAATTTCTTGATTACTGAATTCTTCATTTTATTTATTTATTTATGCAGTTTGTATGCCACCCTTCCGAACAAAAGCACAGGGTAGCTTACAATAAGAGAAATAAAACAACTTAAAAGGACAAGTAGCATAAATATAATTAAACAAGAGATTCAGTGAACATCTCTGCCTAGTTATGGTTGCTAAATGCCAGCCCAAATAGAAAGGCCTTGCAAGACTTCCAAAAGATTCCAGACATGGGCTCTGGAGGGTCACAGGAAGGAGGGAGACTATCTTTACCTAGATATCCTTAATGTTACAGTGAAATATTTTTCCTACTTTACTTCTATGCAAAGAGACAATGCCTGAAAAAGGGTAGAAAAACACAAGCAAGCAAATGCGGAAAGAAACTGCCTTTTCTATTGGAACTTTTAAGTTCCTTTCTGTGCAGCTGTTTATCTTACACAATTTGAAAACAACTACTGTACACTTCACTAGTTATGCCTATATTTTAGTATACACCTGCACAGTTAAGGACATTTTCTATTAAGCATTAGGCATGTAATTTTCTAACTGTCATCAGTAATTTCACGTTTGAGCAGCTTAAGGAAGAAAATATTAGCCACAAAGGTGAATGCTTTAGAAAGCTATGATCGTTTAAAAACAAGAAAGTTCCACTTAGACTGTTTTGTAACTAGATTTAGTGGGGGTACCAGTCACTCACTGCAATAATGGTAGTTTTATAATAGCTTTTGTGCTAATTAGATTCCCCGGGGTAAACTAGGCTTTTCCTCGGGGCCAAATTTTGCCCTCCCACCCTTCCTCATCCTTTCAATAACAACATTCCTTACTGTTTTATGATGTCTGTCTCTCTCTTCCCCCATAGCAGATGTATTTTACAAGTTTGCAATTTATACAGTACTTCTATCCTGAGGATGGGGCATGAGGGGAAGGATTATGCAACTGTAAAGTATTTTTGAAGCAATTACTTTCCCCATTTTGCAGCCTTGATATTCCTGAACATAGCCCTCTTATAAACAAGACCTCCAGGTTCCATTTCAGGTATCTTATTAGCTGTTCTGACACAAAGCAACACAATAAACACACTCCAGGAGTAATGTTTTCTCATTACTAATAGTTTATTTTGACAGAAAGTGACAATGGTATCATTTACTACCCTGAAGAGCTTCAGAAGATGGTTTTTGTGGTACGCCTTCAGCTAGAGCAGGCTCACTCAGCTGCCTCTCGTTGCCTCCACATTTCCATCAGTCAATTACTTTTCTTTTCCTCCCATAGCTTTTCCAGCCTCTTCACTGTGGCTAGGGACAGACATTCAAAAAACCTGAGCCTGAATTCATTCAATCTTTACAGGTTAGTTTAGCCGGTCTAGGTTGAACTGATTTGCAATTGCACAGACATTCCCTCTGGACTGAAGAAATATAGGCATATGCCTGCAGTAGCTCAGGCTAGAAGCCGGGGGGCACTACATCAGCCCTCCCTTCCCTTCTATAGTGCTGAGCTGAGGGAGGGCATGGTTAAGCCCCAGCAGGACCTCTGATTAGGGAGGGGTTTAAACCCCCACCCTGCCTGCACCATCCCAGGCTTTTTCCTGCTCACTGCTCAAGGTGCAGGAATGTTGCCAGCCCCCAGCCTCATGCTAGGACTCTAAGGCAAAGGTGGGGTGTGCAGTGCACACATCTGTTGATGATACTGAGCTTTTTAATCTCCCTCTCCCTGCTTCTGATAGGCGAAGGAGCCAGCAGGGAGCTGATAACACATTAGTTCAAGCTCTTCTTAGACAGCTTTTTCCAAGGAAGGAACAGAGTGACATCACAAGCTGACCTATTGATTAGCTCCAAAAAGCCCTAAGCAGACACTGTTTTGTCTGCCCATCCCAGTGAAATTGGAGGCACACACACAGACACCTCTCAGCATTAGTTAGTATACCACATGCCTAGGGTCCATGGGGCTGGGGTCCATGCTGTGGGAGATGGGAGGGGGGAGGGGGGGGATTCCTGCTTGAGCTGTGAGTGGTGGGAGGATGGGGAGCTGGGGGAAGTGGGCAGACCTTGCTGTGCCTGCAATCTAAGCCGGAGCTCTGGCTAGGGAGCAGAGGGGCAGGCCAGCCCTGCTCTCTGGAGCAGATAGCATAACCCAGGGCTGCAAAGCATCTGGGATGCTGGGGGACTCTGGTTTAACTTAAACCAGGAAGGGGTCTGGGCAGACACTGTATAAACCAGTTTGACCCAAATCAGTTAAGTCTGATATTACATTCAACCAGGTTTATCAAACCAGTTTCAGCCATTTTGAAACTGGTTTATGTGCACTGAACTTATGTTCTGTTACAGGTTTAAAACAGTTTCTGATCACTTAAATGGTTTATATGTAATGTCTGTCTCTAGCCTGTAAGACTAAGCTATGACACCTCACTCACAGTACTTATTCCTGAGCTTCCACAGATCAATAAGTATATGAGTGGAATAATTTGACCCTCTATGTGAAGTCAGTTCTGTGGATGGTACACCAGATTATTTCAAGTTGATTATTTGATTGTAGTATCTACCACTGCCAGATAAATCTTCCTAGTTCTAATTACATTCCTCTAAAGTAATACAGTCCTCAGCAAAGTTTTCTTCGTGCATTCATGTACAATGTTCTGGCACTGCCCTCAGAATACCCTACATCTGTGGTATTAAATACTTCAGTTTAGTCTTATACACCTCAAAATGATTTTTCTTAATCTTTCATGCTTGACTCATTTTGCTGTTACTGCTAGTTCTTCTGGTGGGTTACATACACCCTGTTGTCCACACCCAGAGACAATGAGCTTGTGTCATAAGCTATTAATGTATGTACTTGGAAATAACAGCTGCAGCTGAAAAGCATCTCAGCTACAACTATGAATTAAGCAAACCTCAATCTGGTGCAGACATTACACAGTGTAATTTTCTCAAGCAATCATTATCAAACTAGTTATCACAAATATTAAATCAGGAGCGCTACAAAGACAATAAATATGATACCCAATATGATGGAAAAAGGCAGGGTATATGCTCATAAGACTATTTTTTGTTAAATATAGTATGTTCTGATCACTCAATTACAATAAGGTATAATGTATAAACACCACAATGTGAATGAGATAGACAACATAGAATTTTCTGTAACCAATATTTTATAATATATGTTCTTTAGCGTAGGGCATATAACTGTCCTGCTTTTCAGCTCATAAAAAGGGTATACTGTGAAATTTTAATGGAAACATTCTTTGTCCAACTACCTATCTCAAGGTTTTACACTGGTGCCCATTGCCATAGTAACTATCTGCTCTCCATATAAAATTAATAGAAAGAGGCAAGTCTTCTAGCACACTTCCTTCCTTTGGGGATTAAAACTTGCCAAGGATTTGGTTTCTTGGTTTTTAAATACATTTTAGTGTTGCTATAAACACTGAAAAACTAATCAATTGAAAATTTTAAAAAAATCTTGCTAGGCAAGCAGTCAACAGAAAATACATTTGCTTTCAAGCTTTTAAGTCTTTTAAAATCAGTTGCAAACACATTTCAGCACAAATAATAGAACTTATGTCCCGCTTCACACTAATACAGCTAACTACCTCTCTCTATTTTTAATGAGTCAGGTAAACATTTACCACAAAAGATAGTCAGTCATGCAAATTCTGTCTCCAGAATGATAGGTTTAGACTCAATCAGCCCAATAAATCTAGCATCCATCAACATCAGATACTGCCCTCAGTCCTTAGAAGAATTCTTTTTGATGTTAGCTGAGCAAATGGATGAAGGCCAACGTATGCTCATAAATCTGCAGTTTATGGTATACAACAATCAGGAATTCTTAGAAGCATTACCAACTTTTTTTTTTTTTTTTTTAATACTATAGTAATCATGAGGTAGAAGCTTTCCTTAATATTTTTTTTTATGCGTATGTACTTTCCAATATGGCTCACAGCATGCATACAGAATTCAGTAAGAAAAATCTACCCCTCAGAGGTAAAAGAAAAAAAGATCATGACTTACAAATAACTTACAAATAACCAACCCTGCTCCTATTTATGTATGTTATGCCCTTTTACTTGTCCCTCTAACATGCATATGAGAAATTGTGTGGGCTCTGTACTGTACTTAATCCAAAATAATCAAACTCCATTTGACCAGTTTAGGATGAGAATCCCAAACCTCAATATTCTGTCAGTAAAACTGCCTGGCCACCTGCCTTTCTACACTTAAGATAAGGCAGTTTTTGCTCAAATGCTCAGCTGATCTTATCTGCTTCGCAACAGATCCTAGGAAGAGGATTGTTCCACCAGACAGCTAGGGCTGTACACATGAAAGTCAACACTTCAAATTACACTCACACAGTAGTTGAAGTAAAACTTTTCTGTCAATATTTTGAAACTTTAACACCAGGTATTCTGATACTACAGCAGAGATGACTAACTACCGTAGATCATCAGTTGGCAAGGGTTTAGGGCAGGGATGGGCAAAATACGGCCCGGGGGCCGGATGCGGCCCACCAGGCCATTCTATCCGGCCCATGGTGCCCCTAAAAAATTTAAAAAATAATATATATCGGCCCTGGGCTGCCTGTCATGCGGCCCTTGATGGCTTGCCAAAACTCAGTAAGTGGCCCTCTGCCCAAAATAATTGCCCACCCCTGGTTTAGGGCCACAGGCTGGATTAATTAGGGTCAGGTCCCAGGTAAGCTGGTGAAACAATTCCTCGCCCCCCCGTCATTGCAGCACCTGCTATCTCATGCAGCCACATTGTGTGCCAAGCTCCTGCTTGGCTGCAACACTGTAATGGCTTGGTGGTACAGAGCCCCCCAGCTATGGCACATGCACAACTCCCTCCCTCCCCTCCCCGTGCCTGGCCATAACATAGGCAAAACCCCCTGGATCTACAGGCTACTGCATACTGCCAACCCATGAACTAGATTATCATCCCCGAGTTCTCAAATTCACTTGGGTCTAACAGTACCTTTGTGCAGAAGCAGCAGGGAAAAGCCCTAAAAAGGAAACCATATAACCATTCCAAACCTATCACATTCACATTTGTAGTCAGCTCTGACTGAAAAAATCACTTTGCATGTGATGTAGCCAATACTTGTTATGGGGGTATAGCATCTCATACAACCCCCAAAGACCTCTTGTCTGCCTGTGTCATGAAGTCACCCTGAACAAAGGGCTTTGACTATCTCATGCCAACTCCGAAAAAACTTTATAACCAATTCCACAGGGATCTCACTGATGCACCAGGGCACCCCATATACCCTAGATCGATTTTTCTTATCCATATTCAATCCCAAGATAAACAAGCAATGCAAGTACTCTTAAATGAATATTATTTTGGAACTGGCTTGAATTCAGTCAAAAATAGCAAGGTTACACTACCTCCCTGAGCATCTGTCAGCACTTGCTGCATTACAGTTTTATAGATGCACAAAAAGCACTTAAAGAAAATAAATGTAATAGATGTCAGAGTGTAAACTGAAGCCAATGCCCTGCCTATCTTTTTACTTTAATGAGCTGCTAGATTAGAAGCAAGTCTCCGTTGTGTTGCTGAGCTGCTGACTGGGTTTCAGAAAATGCATGTTCTAAATTTCTGGGTGCTGAGTGAGAAGTGTGGAGTGCCAGAATTAAACACTCCTGTACAACTCCTCATTTAAATGTAAATGTGTGGAATACTGAAATCAGTCTTCTAATTAGCACTGGCATTATTACAAGGAAAATGAAAAACTGGGAGATGGCAAGAAAAGATACAAGCAAACTTTTATATGAATAATTAAGCCACAGTTGAGCTCGCACTGGAACCCTTTTATCAGCCTCTGATTACAGTTATAAGCAAAAGCCAAAACATTTCAGAGAACTTTAACTGGACTGAACTTAACATACTTTTCCTTCCATGTACACAAACAGAATCCACAGCTGGTGTAGCTCCACTGACTTCAATGGGACTACACTCATTCATACCAGTTGAGGATCTTGCCCACAGTGTACTGAAATATTGTCAGTATCCATACTTCAAGACTTCTCAATTTCTATCCATGACCTGTAGACAAGTGACCCATAGGCAAATTGTAAAATGAATACAAAAACACTGAAAGTTTTCTTTCATCGCTTGTCAAACCACTGACTGCCATTAGCTATGCAAGATGGTATGAATGGATTTTTTATTTAAACAATGTTGCAAGTTGTTATTAAATATTTATGTAGTGTCATCGCTTTGCATGTTTCCTTTGTCTGTTACTGAGTTTTAGGTTACCATCTGGTTTACCATCAAGGATATCCTGCTAAAGCCAACAAATACAAGCTGCTGTTTTAATATGTATTTGCTGTGGGCAGTAAACAAAACAGAAACTAAGAGAGAGATTTCACTCCACATTTTACAGTCTTTGCTCAAGACGTACTAACGGCATTTCACAATCTTGGAGCAGCTGAATCTTCTCTGCAATGCAAATCATGGACAAGTACAGCACTTATTAAAGAGGAAATGACTTCAATGGGAAATTCAAATTATCAAATAATGTATGAATGCAATTCCACCCGTGCATAAATAAAATATAAGTTGTTATGTGGCAAGTTTCAGTTAGCAGAGATTTTCTGAATGCTTGGGTTTTGGCAATAGTGAGTATTAGACAAAATATGCAACACCACACAAGTTATTCTTAATAAAAAGACATGGGCATAATTTTATTTCAGAGAACAAGTTTCAATTTTTCTCAGTATATGCCTATACTAAGCATTGTCTGACCTAACTTTCAAGAATCTGCCTCAGTAGAGAGATTTAAAATGACCCAGCTAGATGTCTAGCCTTTCCACAGAGTCAATGGAGGGACCTTGTGGAAACAAGAATGAATCACACCTACATCGTCGAGTCATAGAGAAGTAGGGCTGGAAGGGACTTCAAGAAATCGTCCAATCCAACCCCCGTGCTTGTGAGAGGATCATCTATATCTGCTATGTATGTGTTTATCTAACCTATTCCTAAAACTACCCAATCAACTCTGTTGCACAGCTACAAGGCACATGGCCCTAAAACACCAAGAGCCTGCCACAGGTAAAGCAAGGAGATGAGAGCTATCAGTTTCCTACCACTGCAAGTGTTGTTAAAATGCGCTAGAGAGATGAAAGAGGGCCATGCTCCCCTGCTACAGAGGAAGTGTCTAATATAAAACATACACACAGTCCTGGGAAGCAGAGACAATCACGCAGGACTCCCCTTTCCATGGGCTACAGGGGAAAATTCCTTTTTTCCTTGTTCTCCTTCTAGTCCCATAAGCCTTGCATTCTTAGCTGCTCAGTAGCCCAACAGGACAGGTAGAGAGAGACCTCACCTCACTTATTTGGCAGCCAGAAATTTGGAGACAGGGGAATAGCAGCAGCGTTAATGGCTGTTCCCCTGCTGCCAAATTTCCAGACCTGTGAAAAGCCTTGCAAGCCTGATAACGTGGCTCTGCATGCTAAATCACGCTGGCTTGCAGTTGGAGCTGGAATGTGGAGTCAGCACGGCACATGGTCAAATCTCAGGCATGGGGTCAGGGAGGCATGCTGAATCATGCTCACAGACTGACTTTACTTGAGATCTAGCCTGCGGACTGAACTTTTGCTACTTTTCCACCCCACAGGCCCACCAGAAGGTTGGACATGACGTTTCTAATCAGGAGGTTACCAGGCCAAAGCTGGACAGAAGCAGCAGCACCTCCACCAACCATTCTGAGTTGTAGATATGAATTAAAAGTTCTGGATTGTGTCCAGGTAACTAGCAGGGTCTCTCTGGAGACGCATGCAGATGTTGTGCACTTTCAGTGAGCCATTCAAACTACACAGAAACTTAGGCAAGGAGAGAGACTGCCCTGGGTTGGCTTACAAGCCTACAAGCCTGGGTAGAACTACTGAACTCTAAAATGGAAGCAGACACTTCATTTAGACATCTACATTAGCGTGTAGGATGCTGGTGCCAGGCCAACCTGAACTGCTCCTCAAAAATGTCCCTCTTCTGCCTCAGTCCTAGTTATTCTGCTACCAAATTTAATCTGGCCCAGGGAGTATATCTGCCCTGTTATGAAGGGGGAGAATGATCTACATTAAAGAGGGCTAGATACCAGATGCACTCCTTTAGAGGTGCAGTATAGAAAGCACAGGGCAGAAAATGGGGTAGTTTTGCGATACCTTTGAGATCTCTTGATTTGGGCAGCTGGATGGGGAAGGTGTGGGGGACCTGATGTATGCTGTAGACTAAATTAGATCTATGCACATACACCAACAGAGAACATGTGTCTAAATTTATTAAATCTGCTTAATTTTCTAATGGAGAAAGTACATATTCAGTTAAAAACAAAAATAATTTTCCATCATGTCTGAACCATCCCATGAGGAAAAAACCCCATTTTAAAAAATGTAAATAGCTATTTTACATAGCAACTATTTCACTGCCACCTAATACCATTGAGTCTTTCCTTTTTGTTGTGATCTGCTAGGTTTTCTTGTCGATCACATTATACCACCTACCAAGTTTGGACATTTTGGAATTAAGACATTCATCTTAATCTTGCATGTAGTGAAGCAAAGAGGTGTTAAACTATACATTATGAGCAGTAGTAACTTACCTTGGAAACAAAACATTCTGCTATTGCTACAGGGTCATTTTCACAGTTTTCCAAGTCTTGCAAAAGTTCACTAATAAAAAAAGATGGAAAAAGGAACATTATTTTTTATGATCCATTTTATACCCATGTACTTGACATAGCTTTGTCTTTCTTCACATCATAATAATCGCTGCAGCTTAAACGTAAGTTAAAACTAGACCAATATTCAAACCTAGAATTTTATTGTTTCTTCCCATAGAAAACTCAACTGTATTTACCTGTCTTCTGTGTTATTAACTTTATTAACCTATCATTAGGGACAAGATCTTCAACCTTAATCATGTACAGTTATATGAATATATAGATGATGTGCATACCACATATGTATCTGTTCAGATGTGCAGTCAATTAAGCAGACTAGAGATCTGCAAGTGCATGTGGCCAATTAACACACATTCATAAAATAGGCACACCTGCAAATGTATGCATAGAATTACATGATCCTGATACAAGGAGTCCATTCTGACTCAACTTCAGGAGGTCAATACACAATGTTGCATCTCGACCTTACTGCCCTAAGTCATCTGAAACTGATTTCACATTCCTCAGTATCTTTTAGGATTTTTTACTAAACCCCATTATCAGAAAAGGGTTGGAGGGTCTATGACTTTTAACTAGTTTGGTAAAGTGAGGTGGCTGCTAGACCTGCTAGGGTCTTCTACTCTTCTTTCTTGCTCTGGTTGAGAAAAACTGTTGCTTTGTGTCTTTGTGGAACAGGCGCTTGGAAATGCCATTCCAGCATATACCATTCATAATCGCCACGTCACAACACAACACAGCTGACCTTCTTAGATGACTTAGACAAGTTTTGCTGCTAACCAGCTTCATCAAGGTGAGTAGAATGGGAATGTTACAGCAGCATATTTCAAAATCAAGGAGGAGACTGCTTCTGTTCATCTGTAGTGATGGTCAAATGGAATGGAGTGAAATTTAAAATGCAATGAAGCAAGTGTCCTGTTATAAGAAAATTGTTTTCTAGCTTCTAATACTAGGGGTTTTGCATGACAGGCTCTACCTTAGCTAGTTTGAGAAGCAGAGATACATTACAAAGAGGAAGGATTGTAATCACTTCACTAATAAGAAAACCTCCCATTTTGACTGGAGGGAAAGTAGCAGACTTGGAAAGAGTTTTCTTGAAGGAACGACAAAGTAGACAAAGGATGCTTGAAAAAAATGCAGGAGAAAATAAAACCCTAAGTATAAACTTCAATAATTCTACCATGTCAAACAGGAGATGAATTCTTTACAACAGGAGGAAAGTCTTAAGTCTTATGCTTAGTATTGTCCAAGATTCATCTATTCTTGGGGGAATGTATGAGAACATTCTCATTTTTCATTTTATGGTGCAAGATGCACAGAAAATCAAAAGGGAGATAATTCAGGCAGAGGAGGAAAACGTCTGTGATGACCCTCTGGTCCCAGAGGTCTAGTTTGCTAGACCTCTAGCAAAAGTCCTACTGAGACAATATTATGGAACAGTAATCCTGATTTCCTGTCAAATGGACTCCCTAACAGAAGCTTTTTCCCTTTTCCTTAGGTGCCATTTCTTTACTAAGGGATAGCTAGTTTCTTGCATTACAGTACTGTATGCTCAGGATACAAAGCTGTATCTAGAAGACTTCTTCTTTCTTTTCACAGGGACATGATTTCCTATTTGGGAACCTGACTTGCCCTTATTCTTCAAACTTGCAAGAAAATAAATCACTCTATAACTCTGAGGAAGTCATTTAACCTCTGTACTCCAATTTCACCATCTGCAACATGGGGATAACCAGACTACTATTTGCTGATACCAAACAGTGGAGAAATACCACCTTGTAAAATTTGCTATATTTTTGTTTAGGAGTTCAAAGGCAGTGATAAAACAGTTGCTCCCTTAGTTTAGTCTTTCATTTCTTACAGACAACAAACAAATAGCATAGCCTTCAGTATTTATGCTATACTTATCAGGCTCATTGGCCATAAACTAAAAATGTCAACATTGCACAATGCAGTGCCATGCCAGATACTTTGGTTTGCTTTAAATAAATTAGTTTGATGCCAGAATCAATTTAGCTGTGGTTGCACAGAGCTCTGTGCAGGCTACTATACCCTGGGAGTGTCTACGCGTGTTGCTATGGCAATGTTGTTACTGCACTGTGATTTAGTACTTCCTCTTGGAAGTACTAAATCACAGTGCAGTAATGGCCCATACTGCACCATACATGTGGCACAGTTATTTTTAGCAGCTATTTTGCCATAGTGGCACACTATACTGGGGCAGTGCGTCACTACAGCAAAGTACCTGCTGGTCACATGTAGATGCCCATGGATGCTATGTTGCCATAGCACATTGCTATGGCAGCATACCATCACACGGAGACGTGCCCCCTGAGATGCAGCATCAACTAGCTTCTTGGAGTTTTGCAATACCACAGCAACAAAACTGCAGTGTAGATGCACAATGAATGAGTGCACACAAAGCTTGCATTTGAAAGAATCCTAACATTTCTCCATCTCAGTTACTGGGAGAAATCACACTGGTGTATACTATGGGTTCCAGACTCAACTGGACTACATACAGGGCAGTAGAGCCAGTGTTACTGTGGGTTGGAAAGGCTAACAAATAGGACTAATATTCAGAGGTCAAGAGAGGGGGAGGAAAACAATACCAGGAATTTGCACCCCATTTTTTTCATTTTTATCTTGATTAGGTTGAGTCAAAGTTTTGCCATAATCCACTGCTCCCTCCCCTCCCCTGCCCACTGAGAGCTCTTTAAGTGTCTTGGAGGGTATACTGTTTTCAAGGCAAAATACAGTTAATGGTCTACCTGAAGGCATATTTTCAAAGTCTCAAAGTACCATAAGCCATCTAAGTATTATCAGAAGTCAACAGTAGTGAGCTGGATACCCAATCTCCTTCTTGTCCCTTTGAAAAAATCTTATATGCACATATCTTTTGATTGCAACTAAAATTACAATCATCATTTGATCAGCAAAACAAGAAATGTCAAGTGTAGGCAAGTAGTTATTTTAATACTGATTTTCATCTACCCTGTGTTTTGACATGTTTATAACGAAGTCTCAAAATGTCATGCCTCCAATAAAACAGAAAATCAAGAAAAATATAGCACCAGCATAATTATGTGGCAAAGCTCATGCAGCCAAAACTTTAAGGGAGCAAATACTTTCTCCATTTTGTTCTGTTTTAATTAAATGCTATTTTTTAAAGCATAGCATTAGAGTTATTTAAAAAAAAATGTTTCTCTTGACAATCATCCAAATTATGTCACTATTAAAATAAAAGCAGGATTCACCCAACATGGTAAAGACTGGTCCTACCCCAATAATTGTATAATTGAGTAAAGGCATTAGAAGGGTACTGTCAAGTAGTAGACATAGGGCAGTGGGAGATGCATGTCAGCAGATGCCCCAGCTGCCAGCCCAGATTCGGTAAATGCTCATTTGCTGGCCCCCTACAACCATTCTTAGGACAGGTTCACCTAAGGGTGCCTACAGATGTTTAGGGGCCATGCTTTAACTCATGGCACTTTACACAAAGCACCATGAGTTAGAGTCCTCCCCCTCCCCGATCCAATAGATATTTGGATGGTTGGGTTGGGGAGACTTCAGCCTGCTTGCACTGGTCCCAGCTAGTGCTCCAGCAGCCTCCAAGGAGGCTGCTGCACCACCCCTCCAGGCTGCGGAACCACCCCTCCCCCTAGCTCTGGCTCCTTCCAGGGCTGTCAGCAGGACAGGAAGGGGGATAGGGAGAGAGCAGTACACAGTTGCTGGCTGGACTTTGCCTAGCTGGGGCTAGAGGAGGGTGGAATGGAGCCCCGTTGCCTCATGGGCCCCCTCAGCTACCCTGGCTGGGGTACTGGGGGGAGCCCCCTCCCCGATCCAATAGATATTTGGATGGTTGGGTTGGGGAGACTTCAGCCTGCTTGCACTGGTCCCAGCTAGTGCTCCAGCAGCCTCCAAGGAGGCTGCTGATCAGCTACCCTGGCTGGGGTACTGGGGGGAGCCAGGCCAGGCCTGGGAGGTGAGGGGGCTCCCTTCCCCCACCCAGGCCTCTTGACAGCAGCAGCAGCAGCCACTGGCTCAGCTTTGCCATGGCTGGAGTTGGGTGGGGAGGGCAGGGTGGAATCAGCCTCCTCACCTTGTGGGCCCAGCCAGGCTCCCCCCTGTACCCCAGCTAGGGTAGCAGGGGTGGAGGGAAGGGGAGGCCATGAGGCAAGGGGGCTCCATTCCACACACCCCCTCCAGCTCCAAGCAGGCGAAGCCCAGTTAGCAACTGCATGCTGCTCCCTGTCCTCCCCGTCCCCTCCCTCCCTTGCTGACAGCTGCAGGGGTATGGCTGGCCTGAGCTGGTGCTTGCTCATGCAAAGGTGTGAAAAATTAACCCAAGGGAACACAAGTTCCCTAAGGCGCTCTGCTTTAGAGTGCCTTCAGCTAATACCTGGTTTATCAAGGGTTAATTTTTCATGTGATTGGCCATTTTAAAAGCACCCTGCAGCCATACACATGTTATGTCACAGCTGTAGAACACTTCTAGGGGGCCGACTGCACAAAAAACATAATTTGTGTAAGCGCCCTACGTGTTGTTGCAGGACTGAATTCAAGAGCACTAGAATGGGTTACCTAGACCAAGATTTCGAACATACAGCCTGTGGGCTGTATATGGCCCTTGAACTGATTTGCTTTGACCCATGGGGTTCTCAGTGGGCCTGTGAATTCAGGGATAGAGCCTACTGTAAATCTTGGGATTAAGGGCCTCACTAGGGATAGCCTTCAGTGAGAAGGGGATAAACAATAGCCATGCTGACACAGTGCCACTTGGCTCCCTGTTTATGCTACTGTCACTGCCAGATCTGGATCTGGCCTGCCATTTGGATCTGGCCCAAGGGCTGGGTGGGTTTGACACCCCTGACCTAGACATGTTGTGCAAGTCTCTCTCACTGAACATTTTTAAGTGCAGATTAGAAAAATATTTGTCTGGGATTGTACAGATGGGGATGATTCTGCTTTGAGCAGGGGACTGGCAGGATGGAATGATCTCCTAAGGTCCTTTCCAGCCTCCGTTTTCTGTATTTGTAGGACTTATTTTAGGTTGCAAGTACAGCACTTAGAGCTGGAGAGTTTGTTTTAAAACATCTTTTACACTGCAAACAATTTGTAAAGACTCCTCTGGGATCAGACTGAGAGAGAATTTTCCTTCTCTATTTGGAAGGGGGCACAGTAAGGGAACTTCCTCCAACAAACAGAGAAAGACAGTGGGAACAGGTTCATTTAGTCTTTGGAGATGCAGCTTCCAAAGTCAGGAACAGGATGCAAGCACTGGTAGCTAGAGATGCAATCCCTAACACTGCCTGTCAATGCCTTCTAAAAACCAAGAACTGTTCAACTCCAGGAAGCTTCCATGAACTGAATCAGCCTCTATCACTTCTGTGGAAGAGCCACAAAATCCCAGGGCTAAAATCCCTTATGAAACCATGGTCAATAACTCCTACCATCTGTGCACAATAAGCACCTTTCAGAGTTAAGCAACTGTTCCCCATTTCTATGAATACCTCTAGGCACCAAAATCCACATTTCAGATTAATGGCCAAATTCCCATTTAGGAAAACAAAGTAGTTTTGAAACTGTAAAAATCACACATTAAAAAAAGGGAATTGAAAGCAGTAATTCATACCAGTCAAGTTAAACTTTTTTCAAATGTAAAATAAATAAATAAACAGACTTGAGAGTGCACTGAGAACCCAAAAGCTGCATGCCAAGTTTCAAACAGGAGTGAATTTTTACAGAAGAGAAATAAATCCCTGGATCTATATTGGAATCTATAATGAAAAAGCTCATAAGGCTAAAAGCTCACAATTTCCACATAGAATTTTAAATTAGGAGGCCTGGAAGATATTAAAGATAATTACTAGAACTTTGGAAGAATTTCAAATATTAGGTATATGACAGGCCCCAACAATTCTAGAAGAACTATTTCTCCTGAAAAAAATGTTCTGAAAAGCTTTTTAACTTCTGAAGATCCTTGTATTCTCATACAAAAACTGGTGTTCTATTAATCAGTATTTACTTTAATGTCTATTTGGAGTTTTGGTGGTATAACTGTGCCTACTCTAGGGGATTTTGCCAGCACAGTAAAGTTGGTCAGGAATTACTTCTCTTATTCCTGACCGATGCTCCTTATACAGTTTGAGCACGAGACAAACTATTTTTAAAAATCTATATCTGATTAAGTTGTGATCTCATTATGGCTCTGTCACATCACATTTAAGATACTGCTACTAGCTTTCCATCAAATTACAACCTATGCCCAGACAGAAGCTGGATGTGGCAACTCCCTTCATAAGCATTCTATGATCTGCATTGGGTGCATTGGGTTTCCAGGTGAAATTTAAGGTACTGATTCAGTAAAACCCTAAAGGGACTTTACCTGACCAAAATGTACCCCTCCCCCTCTGATTCTTCTCAGCGGTAATCAATAGATACATTTTAATCCAGCATCACAGAGAGGGAGGATACCAGCAAAGGTGGACTCTGAGATTAATTTGCAACTACAGAATTCACTTTTGGTCTTAGAAAGAACCAATCTCCTGACCTGCAGGACATGAAGCAAAGCTCATTCTTCTTGGGGGAAAAGATTTTTCAGGGATAAGGAATGGGCAAGCCTTCTGATGGTTATTTAAAGGGATATAGGGCATAAACAATGAATAGGGCTTAAGGTTTTTTTCTGGCTGAACTGGATTTAATGCGAGTTATGATGCTAGATTTCTTATACTATATCAGTTGTGCATTTGAATTCTTGTTCTACAAACCTAGATAAATAAGTAAATAAAAGCTAGCACTCAAACAGGAACTGATTCTTAAATACCTTAGTTTTAAACTAAGATGTACTGTTATGAGCTTTTTTCAGTTTGAAATTTTGATGAATGAAACTCAATCTCTCTCAAGTGTCACATTCACTTAGCAATTTTTTCCCAAGAAAACTGTAGTCATTTGCAAAATGCAATATTCATAGTGGCCTTATCCTCCTTTGGTGGGAGAAAGCCTATATGAGACAGTAAATCCAGTGAGTTTTGACATTTAGCATTTCCTTCTAAAAATTCTGTCAAAACTGAAAGAGGCATGGTCCTAAACTTACAGATGTTGAAAGACCTGCATAATCCAATACCTGTAGAGGCGAGAAAAGATTTTCTTTAAGTCACCAGTATATGCTGGGATAGGATGTGGGGAGTTTTGGGGACTGCAGTATAGATGAGTAAAAGATGCAGAGGGTTTCTCTTGTATGAAGAATCTGAGGGTGCATATAAACATCACATTTAGATTGCCCTAACTGAGCTTAGGGTGATCTAAATGGCTATATGCACATGAGTTTTCAGGGCTTTCCATAAAAATGGTGTGTCCATCACACAGAACTAACTTTAGATCAGCATGGGTTAACCACATCTAAAATGGGCTAACCCAACCTAACGAACACTTGCACTTATTCCCAGCACAGCTCTAAGGTATTTCTTACCTTCCAAACCTATCTAGCCCCCATGAACCAGGCAACACCTCCCCTCCCCCACCACAGACCCCCTAACCCCCCAGGAGACTTGTCAGCTTCCCTACCTCCAGCTGCCCACACCTTCTCCTGTCAAGAGGTGAATGCTTGTATGCACCAATCCCAATTCAGGTTTAGGTGGCTTAAACTAAGCCACCTAAACCTGAGCTGGGTCCCATGAATGCTTGTTTGTACTTCCAGTGCATTAACTCAAGAAGCTTGAACAGTTTAGAACACTACAGGAGCCAAATGTAGTGTAGGTTCAGCCACATTCAGGAGGTCATGATTTAGTAGAAATATAATGATGTTTCTTGGGTAAAACAAGAACTCCATTTCAAGGTGTTTGTTACAGTAGGGTCAGTTATGGCAGTGGTGTCAAAGGTATAAGCCATACACTTGATTTGGCTCATGGAGCCCTATCATTTTGCTTGCAGTTCTGCCCGTGGGTCTCTGATTGGACCCACACACTGCGGTTGCATGCATCAGTCCCAGGCGCACACTACCAGTTACGCTTGGGACTGGTTCCAGACACACACTGCCAGCAGGGCCACTCCAGCATGTGGGACTTATCTGCCTCATCTGGGACCTGATGACTTTAACACCACTGAGCTACAGCAAAAGCATGCTTGAAAAGCTACAAACACTCAGCACATAGAAGATATTAAAATAAATTGAGGGAATGTCTTAGTCCTAAAATTCACAGCTGAAAATCAGCATTCTGGACAAAGACTGTCTAACCAAAAGCACAAAATAACCTTGTAGAGAATCAAAGAATACCCTTTTCCTTATTTATATTCATTGGTTGTATTGACCTGATAGAAGAGTATTTCTCTGAGTAGTTTTGTCCCTTAATGCAGGCTCTTATCTTGTTTTCATTCAGTCAAATATTAACTTACCTGTTGAAATGGTAGATATCTCGTATGTTTCCAAACAGGGCTGATCGCTCTTCTGTCCCAAGGGAGAGCTTGGATTGGTCAGTGATACAATCAAGGTAATCCTGCAAGATAAATGAAAAGGATACCTTAAACACTCTCATCCTTTCTAGATCAGTAAATGGAGCTATCTTTAATAGTGCAAGATGAGTCCCCTTCATATCAGTTTCACATTATTATTACAGTAATCCCCTCAGTAGCTCTACCCTGAACAATCATTCTATTATGAAAGATAACAATACTTACCTGTTCAGCAAAACCATGAAAAGGGCTTGAGACTGAATGCTAATTTATGCTGCTTAGACTGGAGAGTGTACATTTTTCTAGCTACAATACACACAAATGTATTCAGATTTCACCCACAATGACAGCTTAATTGTCTCATTTTATTGTCTCAGTAAGGTCAGTGACATTCTTTCACATTTTTTTAAGTGAGTTACATTAATAAGAAACCTGGATTTGAACAGTACAGAGGATACAATGAGCAGAGGCTTGGAAAATGTAACTATTTCAAAAAGCTATAAAAATCATTTGCTTTTAATCCCAAAAGGGATAAAGCATAATTGCTGCCAGTCCATACAGGATAGAACTTCAATATATGTATCTGTTAGCACATAACTGTACCATGTATACTTCTAAATTGCCTATGACTTTGGCACATAATCTATAAAAGATTTATTTTCATGTCTAGAATTATGGTACATGAATTTAATAGCATATAAACAAGAGAAAAAACCTAGAGAGTATTGTTCTTGCAGGATCATTGCTATTCCACATCATCTACTGTTCTCGATAAGGGCTCTAATCCCTAATGTGTCAACTTGCATTATAGTGCACCTTTCCTTATTGTTCAGTGTGTATTCGGGCTCTTCAGATAAGGGCAAACAAATCCACAGTGTTTAGGAGAACGCAAGTTATAAAACAAGAAACCCAGTACATTGCCGCATTTATAAGAGCCACTCTGTAGGAGGAAGAAAAACAATAAAGGAAAAGTGAAAACAGATGAAACAATGTGAAATAAAAATAAATAAAATCTTTTACCCTGGGGTTAGACAATGTGGTGTGGCAACCTACCAAAAGCAACACAACATTCCACAACACTAGAGGGAAGGAACCCTGCAAAATGTCAGCTAGACCATGAAAATCTTTACAATAAAACTGCATTCCAGAGTCTTAAAGAAAAAAATTATCTGTACACACACACACACACACACAAAACAGAATTAGGACCAGACAAAGTATTTAATTGGGTATGAATTTGATATTTGGTATTTAGATGCATTCAGGAGGAAAGTTTTGAATGACAGGGGCTTCCATTCACTTATCCCTGTTCACACTGGTATAACCAAACTGGCTTCAGGACAACCACAGGTGTGATAAAAAATCAGATTTAGTCATTGCTGCACTTGCTTATTATCCCATTCATTTCTTCATTTAAAATTCCAATACCCTTCCCCCTTCTTCATCCCTCCTCCCCAATCAAACATTTTTCTTGCCACCCACCATCCTCAGAAACCAGCATCTTCTCCCTTACCAGCAATGCAGGAAAAGTAGCTTCATTGTCTTTAGAAAGACGAACAAGTGGCTGGTGACAAATAAGCCTCTACTCTCTCCAAAAAGCCTAGGTGTTACTTTTGCATTGCACATCTGTAAGCCAACTCCCCTACTAGCATCCTGTGACCTAGTAGTTCAAGCCTGTTGAAATATATTTGTGTAATAAGTTATTGGAACAGAGTCCCTAGGGCTTCCTCAACCCTGTAACTGACCTTCTGTTTTTCCTCAGAAGCTTTCTAAGTGTAGGCAGTTTGAGAAGTTTGGGGAGGCAGAAAGGATTGCTGTAGGTCAAAGAGCCAGAAGCAAATACAAAGTTGATCTGGGACTCTTCCAGCTGCAGCTATAAAAATTGTGCTTCTTTTCAACAGAACCTTAAAGAAAGAATGAGTGGAATAAATTAACCTTCTCTGGACCAGCAAAAAAAAAAAAAAAAGAAAAAGAAAAGAAAAGCAGCAAAAAGTAGCCAAAAAATGAATATGAAAGCTCAAACGGAATATGTATCTCTAAAAAGTTTTATTGCTATTTTTAGTACTGCAGGATGAATTGCAGCAGAATTATGGCATTACATGACAGAACATGCTTGAGAAAAACACCAAGCTTTAATGAAAAAAACATATAATGTGTTTTACCGTATAAAGAAAAACCTCCCTTTTTTCATTCATGTCACCCTTTCATGGGGGTTCCATTTTTCCAAGAGCAAGAGGCTACTAATTTTTACTTTTGTTTTTAAAGCCAGTGTATAGAAAACTATCAGAGTTTTCTGATATTGTCATCTCAACCAGTTTTATTTCATCTACTCATTCTTGGGTGTCCCATATCAATTCTTAAGAAGGAATGAAGAATCAGACCTTACTTTTTCCAAAATCAAAGAAAGCTCCACATGAGCTGGTGTATTGGAAACTGTCCAAAGATACGTTGATATTGGCTTAAATTACATAGCCACAACTGTTCTCTTTAGGGAGTTTTTTCCTTGGAACTATATTTCATCATTTCTTCTCAAACCAGAAGTACTTTAGAGAAACATCTGAAACTCATCCCTTGACTTCCAGGCGCTCCCCAGGCTGGGAGCACTGATCAGCTGACTGCCACACCATATCCACTGTACATGGGAGTCAAGGGCTCCTATGTGCCCCTGAGGCTGGGAGCCCCAATCAGCTGCTGCTCCCAGTTGCAGACTCATTGGAGCCCTTGACTCCAATGCCCATCCCCACTCAGTCAAGAGCAGAACTGATCTGACATCAGAGCCCTTGATTCCAATATGCTCCCAAGACTGGGAGCAGGGATCAGTTGACGGGCTCCCCCTGCACCATCAATATGGCATGATGGGGCTCTGATTCCTAATCCCACAATCACGCCTCCCACTATGCACATATAGCTGGGCAGGAAGCACAATTGTTGGGATTGCGCATCAGATCCCATTGCACCTATAGCTGAACATCTGTCAGGGGCCATGGTAATAGTTTTTCTTTCCGAGGTTAGAGTGAACAGTATGTTGCTTAAACATTACTGCTTGTTTTCAGTGAGGGAGACATCTGCATAAAACATGTATCTCATTCTCAGGTCTTCAGGGAACTGTGCTGGCTCATCTTTTGTTGTTGTTGCTGCAGCCACAGGTACAAGTTCAAAGGTGTGACTGCAGTTTGTTTAGACCTATGCAAGCCAGTTTTAAACTAATTAGCTTGGGTAATGATAATAACATTACCAAAGAACTATCATTAGCTAGCCACCTGATTATTTATGCAGCTTCATGGGCTGGTTATGCAGTCTGCACTGAGGTCCAAGCAGCTGCAGCTACATGACTATCAGCACCTGAATTAGCTAGCTTGGAGACAGCCACAGCCACAGCCACAGCCACAGCCACACACACACACACACACACACACACACACGACTGCAGTGTTGTAGTATAGATGTAACTTCTGAAAGGGATGCCAA